TTAAAACACATACAGAATTCTTTGTCCAATTGAAAAGATCTAATCAATTACCAACAAGTTTTCTGTTCATGTTTGCTAAGTTGGAGGTCAAAGAGACTATAATCACAGTTCATTCACAAAGCGATTAACATCGATGCAAGAACTTATGCAAATACTTGGTCAAAAAGTTGTTGAAGAACAAGCTTCCTCTTACTATCAATACAGCAGCAATGTGGAAAAGTCTATTATGGTCATAGACACTGATAGAAAAATGAACATAAAATAACATCATGAGAATAGCCTTGACATGCATGCCGTTTAAAGATGCAAATACAGTAACAATTACAGATTGTGCTTTCAGAATCACTCCACTTTTAAAAGCTCTAAATAGGAGCATTTCTAAAATCCCACCATTCAACATTAAATACTGAAAATTAAGTTAATACATCCTACTTATCCTTAATCCAGTAATACCATTAAGTCCTGATGCACCTAATTGCAAAGCACTGCTGTACCTAAAGATTATCCCAAGCCAGATAGATCCTAAGAAATCCCTTAAGCCCCCTTCTTCCAGACAGAGGAAGCAAGACCCGAAGGTAACAACATATGGAAAATGCATGAGAAAGTAGAAGCCTAACAGAGATACTAGAAAGCAGGGCAGCATCCAGAAAAGTTAAGCTCTTAATAGAAAGCTTCCATTTAAATGGCATCCAGTGTCAGCTTTTTCAGTTATTGTGAATCATACAGCAGCTAAAGCCTGAATCAAACCCTGTTTACACAGCTTGGAGCTCAGGTGCACAGCATAGAGAGAGCCCAGTGTAGCCAAGAGCCACCTTGAGGACAAAGCTGGTAAAACCAAAAGCTGATTTTCTTGCTGGGAAGAATAAACACATACAAAAACTACATCTTTTTATGAACAATAAAACACCTAAATAGCAGCAGGCTCTGTGTATGTGTGTTTACATGCACAACCTGGTAACATCCATTGGTTGCAGAAGCTTGCAGTCACTGGATGCTCGTGTGCGAGGCATTAGGGGTGAGGCAAGGGACACAGGGCGCTTGCTGCACTCGACAGGACATTCTCAGAGGGCTGCTTCTAAGTCATCTCCACTTCTTTGATATGACATGTTGCCCCCTCCATTGCCTAAAGCACAAGGTGGTGATCTAGTGCCCAGAGAACTCCGTGGAGCAGACGTTAAGTCACCATCACAGACCTTCCTAAGTCTTCTACTATCCTCTGAAGTTGATCTTTGAGCGTAGCCTAAAGAGCAGCTCAGAGCCTGGAACCTCCAAACCGTATGTATACCAAGTTTCCCGTAACTAAATGACGAATATCCATTAACACCTTTGAGGTACCTTGACTCTCTGGTGCCCTTTCCATCCTCAGCATCTGTACAACTGTACCCATTAACAGCCAAAAGTCAGATTAACCTGCTTAGCACAGCTAACATTAGTGTTAACACTGTAGGAACGTGTTTAAATTTGACACTGAGTAATTAAACTAAATCATATGTATTTAAAGTGCATTGTTCCAAAGGCACTCTCAAATCACTGCAGAGCTGTAGATAATTACGTATAACAGTCAGCGCACTGGAAAAAGATGATGAGGAAATGTTCCTGACAAAGTGAAGGGAGCTGGTGTGCTCTGAACATAATCTGAAGAAAGAATACGGGTGTTGCATAGCACATAACCTATAAATTAAGCTGTCAATAAAAAGAGAGAGAGAGAGAGAAGAGAGAATAGGGGAAGTAAAGGCAAAAGAAAAATAGCTATTTCTTCAAATGAAGCTCAGCTGCTGAATCCCTTTCTATAAACCTAATTGTATATATTTTAAAATCCAAGATTACTTTGCTCTAAACATTATTTCCTAGATGTCAAAATCAGCACAGAGGACTATGTATTTCTTGATATAGATTTGACAGGCTACTATATTATACTTTTAATGCTTACTGGTATGCTACAACAGTTAATTTATAAAAAAAAACCAAAGCTGTGTAAAAACAAAGTTGTATCTGTAGAATATTTTCATGAAACATATCGTTTGGCAGCTAATAGCCCCTACAAAGAAAAAAAATTGGTGCATGAGAAAGAGTTCTACCTGAAAAGACTAGCGAGGAAGAGGAAGGGAAGGGTAGCATGTGAATCTGCAGCAAAATATCATGTAACTATTGATCTCTGCAATCGGTAGCAGGTTGTCTTTCATACCACAGGTACTTTTATAGTTATAAAAATGTCCTTGCTTGCTCAACAGTGAAGGTCTTAAAACAATTGACCTGATTTTTTCTTCTTTTTTTGCAGGGGTTGAGGGCTCCTATTCAATCTGTATATTGGGTAGCAATTAAAAAGAAAAAAAACACACACAGAAACACAGTGAATAATGAATGATGTTATAACAGAAAATTACAGCATTAGCATAAGTAGAATAAGCAAACCTATAGCAGCACAGCAGATTACCGACAGTTACATCAATATGAAATCTGGCACAAGACAGTTTTAAAATGCTCTTACACAACAGAAAATCCAAAAAGGCAGAAGGCTCTTACGATGCTCAACTTATACACACAAAATGAACTACAGGTAACACTGCTGAGAGATGTATGCATCTTACCTGTGAGTACAGCTTTTGCTGAAGGGTCTGCCAAATCCAGCGCAGATTTCCCATCTGTGTTCCGAATGTTTGGATCAGCTCCGTGCTGCAGCAGCACTGTGCAGGGAAAGCAGAAACAGTATCTTACCTCAGGGATACACAGATTATTTACTGTTAAGTGTCTCCTCGGCATGACGTAGGCATAAACACACATTGCACAGTTTTCTTTATTTTTCCTTCTGGGTTCCCCCCCCTTTTTTTTTTTTAATTTTCTTTTGTTGTTGTTGTTGTCGTTAAGCACTGCAGCAAAGGATCTTCTCCAGAGTAAGGCTAAGTTGGCAAGTTAAGATATAGTAAGATCACATGACTTCGCGTGATAAACGTGAACCCTGAATCTCTTGCAATACTCAGTTTTGGGTTCCTCCTGACAGCTAGCTGGAACGCTGTGCATTCACTGCCTCACACTGGGAAATCTGTTAACTGTGGAACCTGCTCCTGCCTTTACTACCACTACTGCTGCTTGTTACCACTCCCATTCCTTTTTCTGCTGAATATCCCAAGTCATCCCCCGTCTGTAAATCAGTAATACTCCAGCCTTTCAGTGACTCGTCACTTGCGCACAAAATCTTAACCACAGCACACCTGCTTGCCTTCAAGAAGCGTAACAAATAGGGTAAGATGTGTAACCTGGTACCCTGCAGTCTGGATGTTCAGAGGCTGTTATTCTCACTGGTATTTCTTTTTCCTACTAAACCTATTAACACAAAAAAATTCAAGTACATAAAAATACTCAAAATGCAATATGCAACCATATGGCTAGGAAGGCATTGGTACAGAAAATTACCATCTAGAAAAGCTCATTAAAAAAAAGGAGAACACTATTTTACCTGTAAACTCTTTTGATCAGAAACAACATAACAACAATGCAATTCAGACCACCCCCTCTCAAGATCAAGGCATTTTCTACAGAACTGGAAAACAAAGCCCACAGCAACATCAGAGGTCTCACAAAAAGGGCCCCAATTCTCCATTTCCCCAAATGTTGTGCAAAATAAGCACAATATATTACAAATTCAGAGCAACAGTTACACGCTTAACTTTGCACAAGTGTGAATAACAGGACAGTGTACAAACGTGCAGAGACTCAATGTCAAGGAGACAAATAATAAAAACCAGCAGACATTTATGGTTGCTCATGTAACCATGTCTGTTGAGATATAGCTGGACTGAAGGAGTCAAGACAAAGAAATACTTGCAAACACTTTTTGTAATTAAGGGTGCAAAAAACACTTCATAGACAGGATTCTCCAGGAAAAAACATAACCCAATCCAGAACAAAAGTAACTACCAATATTATACTGCATATTTCACTTTAATCAGCAAAAGGCTTTTCAGAAATAAACTTTTTTTGTAAATTAAAGTTTTAACTGGTAGTATTGTTTTTATTCAAACTTCTTTTCTTATACAATTCTGACTTTAAATGCTTTTAACATTGCCAAATTTCATATATTTCAGCTTACAGGATGCTATGCTACATGTTTGCCCTAAGCTGAATTTTTGCAGAAGTTTAGTGCTTTAATGAAGTAAATTGACTTATTTTATGTTTTGCCAAGAAGGTGCAATTGTCCCCTGTTTTTGAAAGAAGATTCAAGTAGGCAAATCGGGCTTTTCCTAGGAGGTTTTTTGTGTGGTGGTGGGTTTTTTTTCCCCCTATGTCAAGACGAAGACACCAACACGGAAAAAAAATAATTCAGCTAGCACGTGCTCACAGAAGCTTGCTAAGATCTGGCACTATGTTTCTGAAGATGCCATCTGTGCCATACATGCTACCACCCCCTTAGAGATCTTACTCATGGACAGGTTTGACTCTGAGCCAGCCTCACAAGCCAGTCGAGCACACTCCAGCAGGAGGTGGTGAACAGGACTTTTTGCAGATTTTTTAAACACAGTAGGCAGTACAGAAATTAAGCATGGAGAGACACATTCAGTATGTCCTGTCTCTATTCTCTTGGACCCTGCTAGTGAATCTATATTCCAGAGGAGAGGGAAGCCATTTGTCCCAAAAGGCATCAGGGTAAGAGTGGGACCCTAAAAGAGGGAACCAGCAACTAAAGTGTCCATCAAGAGAAAGCAGGCAGTACAAAATGATGAAACAACACAGACTGAATGAGAAGACAGTGAAGGATTCACATGGCAAAAAGCCTGGGACAAAGAGCTAAGGGAGAGAACTGAACAAGATGTGGCAGGGGAGGAGATAATAGCGCAGATAAAAAGTCCAGAAAGAAAGACCAGGAGAGAGGAATGACTGGGATTTGCCCAGAGCTTGGACGTTTGGACTAGCATGCAAAGCAAAGCTGAGGCAGGTTAGGGTGCAAGAATGGTGGCTTTGAAAAATGAGAGATGACAGATGTAGAGATGTCAGAGGGATCTGCAACTGCCTGAGCCCGATGCTAAAACAGAAGTACAGGTTTTCAAGTCTCTTAATTCTTCAGTCCTGTGCAAACCAAGCAAGAGCGCTCCCCTGCTACTTCTGCTGGCACACACAGAAGATGACAACACAGCACTGCTTTCAGCTCCTCTCCCGGCTAAAATGACAAAGGATTATGCAGTGTATCTAACCTTTTCAGTCATGCTAATGAACCATGAAGGGTTTTGGCATGGCTTACAACATACAATTTCTGTGTCAGGTTTTTAGTTTTTCAAAAACCTAGGGAAATTAAAAATTGACTAATGGTGCTTAAGCTGGTTACCTGCAAAACCCCTGAATTAGTGACTGCCTGTGGAACATGCACTTGAAGTGGCCAAACTAGGTTCAGAAAAAGAACCCGTCAGAACTCAACTGCTGTAACCATGAGACTTATCCTTCTTGTCTCTGCATTCACTCATCCCACTTGTCATAACCCTTCCAGCCTCTCCAACAGCCAAGGGTCCTGCAGACAGCTCCCTTATTCAGTCCTATAGACAGACCTACCCTGCGACATGAATGCAGTAGCATCTTGGGAGAAGAAACCAATCATATAAATAAGGACTGTATTAGAATGCAGATGAATAAAGGAAGCAAATTCAGGTCACAAAGGCAATCTTATTCTTACATTTCCTCTACTGACTATTTGATTTTATCCTCTCCATACTTTTTTAGTACATAATCTCACAAAAAGATATCCAAGTGAGCAATGTTGTCATCAACATGAATTAACAAAAGAAATCCAGCATCTGATGTTTAGCCTATCGGTGTAACGCAGCGGTACTTTTATACCCAGCAAACCACAGGTAGCTTCTAATTGAATGTTCTTCTGCTCGTTCAAAACCTTTAACACTTTAGCACAACACAAAGTCTCTTCTAACCACAGGGTGTTTGAGATCTAGACACAGTGTGTCTCTCTAAATTTCCTTTTCAATGCACCAGGGATGTGTAAAAACGTCAAGATAGATCTCCTGTTTGAGAAAAACATTCCCTTTATAATGAAACACAACAGAACAAGCCATTCTAGCTAACTGTAGCTATTTTAGATTTCAAACGCTGCACACCAGTTTTAGAGGACGGTTTCTGAGTAGCCTGAAAAGGGAACGTGGCAATAGTTTCTATCAAGAGACTGCTGTTAACATGCAAGCTTAAGGATGGTGTGCACACAGATTCACTCCTGGAACCTTGTTAATTAGCATATTTTGATATGCTGGTTTATTTCCTCTGGACAGTGGGGACATTGGGGTGTATTATTTTTCTGTACTGCAGGCAGAGCCCTTAATAATCTAGCAATACCATTACCTGGCTATCCTTGCCTTTCCTACAAGCCATATGGTACAGTGTAAAGAAGCTCTTCTTTTAATTGACTCTTCATATTGTATATGGACAAAGTCCTGTAAGCTTAACTATAGAACAAACATGGACTGGTACAGAATTATATTTTTATTCTCACTGCAACTGCTACAATACATAAGTTTCTGATCTTCACATACCATCTGAAATGCTTTATTTAATTACACTGCTATTATACCAGATCAGTACTACAGATAAGAAAGGCCACATTCTTCTAAATTTAAAAAAAAGTTACAACATTGCACAGAGCATGAACTACAACGACTAATCATTTCAGATTACTGCCAACTTGCTACAGCAGGATGAATCCTAAAATTAAACACTTGGCCCACAGCCTCCTGGCATAGGTATTTTGAACTGTGAAGCTAACCAACACTACCTCATTTGGCTGTCACATTATAAGCCCACCAAGAACAAACATTTTTACTTTTGGCAGTTTCAACCTTCACATTTTCACCAAGGTATGACAAAAACTTCCCTGCTAGCTATACAGCAACAAGGAAGAAGTAAGTTTTATTAGAATTTAAAAAAAAAGGGGTGTGTGTGTTTGTCTACATGCAAACCATTATCCAAGTACTCAGCCCTTCCTCCTTCATACTGCCTCAGTTAAAAGTGCACCAAAGGAAAACATTTTTGATTGAAAGACGGAAATACAGTGGGAATAGAATGGGAATAAAAAGATCAGTTTGGTTCTTCCAATATTAGGCATGATCAAAGATCAGAACATTTCTGTTATAGTTTGTCTAAGCTCAACATCCACAAGCTTCGTGAATATACTTACAGGAGTGCTGATGGAAAAGTTTACATTTGGTTTCGAATTGGATGCACATAAATACAAAAAAAGAACACAACCAAACCTTTGACTGTTGAGTGAAAAAAGCACAAAAACAGGCAGACCTTGCAGAAGTATCTGTACTTAAAGCTGCCTACTGCTTTTAATTACATTTCCAGAGTCTTCAGTTCCTCACAGCTCTACTGTTGTCTCCTCTCTCCCCACCAGTTCTTTTATCACTGTGTCCCACTGCCTTGTGCTCGCGGTCCCTTCCAGTTACCCCAGCTTTAGTATATATCCTTTCTTCCCCCTTTTCAACTTCACCTTCTGGAGATGATTCCCAAAGGTCCTTTCCAAACCATATTACTGTAGCTTTATCTATGTACTCCCAAAGTACCAAGGTACAGAGAAAACAGCCTAAGAAAAAGCCCTCCTTTTGACTCACAACATGGGCACTATCTTCCATCTCTCTAAAGGATACCTTTAAAGCTGGTCAGTCTCTCACTAACCTTAGGTCCCAGAAACACA